TGAAGGATTCTGCCTTCACAAAGTCAAGTTTGTGAAGGATTCTGGCTTCACAAAGTCAAGTTTGTGAAGGATTCTGCCTTCACAAAGTCAAGTTTGTGAAGGATTTTGCCTTCACAAAGTCAAGTTTGTGAAGGATTCTGTCTTCACAAAGTCAAGTTTGCGAAGGATTCTGCCTTCAAAAAGCCAAGTTTGTGAAGGATTGTGCCTTCACAAAGTCAAGTTTGTGAAGGATTCTGCCTTCACAAAGTCAAGTTTGTGAAGGATTCTGCCTTCACAAAGTCAAGTTTGTGAAGGATTCTGCCTTCACAAAGTCAAGTTTGTGAAGGATCCTGCCTTCACAAAGTCAAGTTTGTGAAGGAGTCTGCCTTCACAAAGTCAAGTTTGTGAAGGAGTTTGCCTTCACAAAGTCAAGTTTGTGAAGGATTTTGCCTTCACAAAGTCAAGTTTGTGAAGGATTCTGCCTTCACAAAGTCAAGTTTGTGAAGGATTCTGCCTTCACAAAGTCAAGCTTGTGGAGGATTCTGGCTTCACAAAGCCCAGTGTGTGAAGGATTCTGGCTTCACAAAGTCAAGTTTGTGAAGGATTCTGCCTTCACAAAGTCCAGTTTGTGAAGGATTCTGCCTTCACAAAGTCAAGTTTGTGAAGGATTCTGCCTTCACAAAGTCAAGTTTGTGAAGGATTTTGCATTCACAAAGTCAAGTTTGTGAAGAATTCTGCCTTCACAAAGTCAAGTTTGTGAAGAATTCTGCCTTCACAAAGTCAAGTTTGTGAAGGATTCTGCCTTCACAAAGTCAAGTTTGTGAAGAATTCTGCCTTCACAAAGTCAAGTTTGTGAAGGATTTTGCCTTCACAAAGTCAAGTTTGTGAAGGATTTTGCCTTCACAAAGTCAAGTTTGTGAAGGATTCTGCCTTCACAAAGTCAAGTTTGTGAAGGATTCTGGCTTCACAAAGTCAAGTTTGTGAAGGATTCTGCCTTCACAAAGTCAAGTTTGTGAAGGATTCTGCCTTCACAAAGTCAAGTTTGTGAAGGATTCTGCCTTCACAAAGTCAAGTTTGTGAAGGATTCTGCCTTCACAAAGTCAAGTTTGTGAAGGATTTTACCTTCACAAAGTCAAGTTTGTGAAGAATTCTGCCTTCACAAAGTCAAGTTTGTGAAGGATTCTGCCTTCACAAAGTCAAGTTTGTGAAGGATTCTGCCTTCACAAAGTCAAGTTTGTGAAGGATTCTGCCTTCACAAAGCCAAGTTTGTGAAGAATTCTGCCATCACAAAGTCAAGTTTGTGAAGAATTCTGCCTTCACAAAGTCAAGTTTGTGAAGGATCCTGCCTTCACAAAGTCCAGTTTGTGAAGGATTTTGCCTTCACAAAGTCAAGTTTGTGAAGAATTCTGCCTTCACAAAGTCAAGTTTGTGAGTTTGTGAAGAATTCTGCCTTCACAAAGTCCAGTTTGTCAAGGATGCTGCCTTCACAGAGTCAAGTTTGTGAAGGATTCTGCCTTCACAAAGTCCAGTTTGTGAAGGATTTTGCCTTCACAAAGTCAAGTTTGTGAAGGATCCTGCCTTCACAAAGTCCAGTTTGCGAAGAATTCTGGCTTCACAAATTCCAGTTTGGGAAGAATTCTGCCTTCACAAAGTCAAGTTTGTCAAGGATTCTGCCTTCACAAAGTCCAGTTTGTGAAGAATTCTGCCTTCACAAATTCCAGTTTGTGAAGAATTCTGGCTTCACACAGTCCAGTTTGTGAAGAATTCTGCCTTCACAAAGTCAAGTTTGTCAAGGATGCTGCCTTCACAGAGTCAAGTTTGTGAAGAATTCTGCCTTCACAAAGTCAAGTTTGTGAAGGATTCTGCCTTCACAAAGTCAAGTTTGTGAAGAATTCTGCCTTCACAAAGTCAAGTTTGTGAAGGATTCTGCCTTCACAAAGTCAAGTTTGTGAAGGATTTTACCTTCACAAAGTCAAGTTTGTGGAGGATTCTGCCTTCACAAAGTCAAGTTTGTGCACAAAGTCAAGTTTGTGAAGAATTCTGCCTTCACAAAGTCCAGTGTGTGAAGGATTCTGCCTTCACAAAGTGCAGTTTGTGAAGAATTCTGCCTTCACAAAGTCAAGTTTGTGAAGGATTCTGCCTTCACAAAGTCAAGTTTGTGAAGGATTTTGCCTTCACAAAGTCAAGTTTGTGAAGGATTCTGCCTTCACAAAGTCAAGTTTGTGAAGGATTCTGCCTTCACAAAGTCAAGTTTGTGAAGGATTCTGCCTTCACAAAGTCCAGTTTGTGAAGAATTCTGGCTTCACAAAGTCCAGTTTGTGAAGGATTCTGGCTTCACAAAGTCCAGTTTGCGAAGGATTCTGCCTTCACAAAGTCCAGTTTGCGAAGGATTCTGCCTTCACAAAGTCAAGTTTGTGAAGGATTCCAAAGCACGCAAAAGGGGCCGAGGAGAAGCCACAGCGAGAGAAGCCGAGAGCGACCAGCGAGAAGCCGCGAAGTACGACACAAAGCCGAGAGAAAGCCGAGAAGCCGAGGAAGCGACCGAGAAGCCGAGAAGCCGACACCAAGGCTGAGAAGGCAAGAAGCCGAGAAGCCGAGAAGCCACCGGACAAGCCGAGAAGCCGAGAAGCAAGCCGTGAAGCCGAAGAGCCGCCGGGCAAGCCGAGAAGCCGAGAAGCCGAGAAGCCGCGACGCCGAGGAGCCGCCGGGCAAGCCGAGAAGCCGAGAAGCCGAGAAGCCACCGGAGCCGCCGGGCAAGCCGAGAAGCCGAGAAGCCGAGAAGCCACCGCGAGAAGCCGAGAAGCCGAGAAGCCACCGGAGTTGTCGGGCAAGCCGAGAAGCCGAGAAGCCGAGAAGCCACCGGACAAGCCGAGAAGCCGAGAAGCCACCGGACAAGCCGAGAAGCCACCGGACAAGCCGAGAAGCCGAGAAGCCGAGAAGCCACCGGACAAGCTGAGACAGTAGCCCTGGCACCCCCTCTGAACACTATGTTGCATCTTCACCATCACAAGACATCAACTCCCCACCCCCCTCTGAACAATACGTTGCACCTTGAGACATCAGCCCCGCCACCCCCTTTGAATATATGTTGCATCTTCGAAGATCAACCCAGCGACCCCCTCTGAACACTACCTCGCCCCGTTAAACTTCTACATTCATCGAAGATCTTCAATGAGGGTTTAATTCTCCCAGCCCCTTCAAACTTCTACATTCATCGAAGATCTTCAATGAGGGTTTAATTCTCCCAGCCCCGTTAAACTTCTACATTCATTGAAGATCTTCAATGAGGGTTTAATTCTCCCAGCCCCGTTAAACTTCTACATTCATTGACGATCTTCAATGAGGGTTTAATTCTCCCAGTCCCGTTAAACTTCTACAGTCATCGAAGATCTTCAATGAGGGTTTAGTTCTCCCAGCCCCTTCAAACTTCTACATTCATCGAAGATCTTCAATGAGGGTTTAATTCTCCCAGCCCCGTTGAACTTCTACAATGGACGATCTTCAATGAGGGTTTAATTCTCCCAGCCCCGTTAAACTTCTACATGAAATTCATGGACGATCTTCAATGAGGGTTTAATTCTCCCAGCCCCGTTAAACTTCTACATTCATCGAAGATCTTCAATGAGGGTTTAATTCTCCCAGCCCCGTTAAACTTCTACATTTATTGAAGATCGTATATGATCGCCGATGAGGGTTTAATTTCTCCCAGCCCCGTTAAACTTCTACATTCATTGAAGATCTTCAATGAGGGTTTAATTCTCCCCAGCCCCGTTAAACTTCTACATTCATGGACGATCTTCAATGAGGGTTTAATTCTCCCCAGCCCCGTTAAACTTCTACATTCATGGACGATCTTCAATGAGGGTTTAATTCTCCCAGCCCCGTTAAACTTCTACATTTATTGAAGATCGTACAAGATCGTCAATGAGGGTTTAATTTCTCCCAGCCCCGTTAAACTTCTACATTCATTGAAGATCTTCAATGAGGGTTTAATTCTCCCCAGCCCCGTTAAACTTCTACATTCATTGACGATCTTCATTGAGGGTTTAATTCTCCCAGCCCCGTTAAACTTCTACATTCATTGACGATCTTCAATGAGGGTTTAATTCTCTCCAGCCCCGTTAAACTTCTACATTCATCGAAGATGTTCAATGAGGGTTTAATTCTCCCAGCCCCTTCAAACTTCTACATTCATCGAAGATCTTCAATGAGGGTTTAATTCTCCCAGCCCCGTTAAATTCTACATTCATTGAAGATCTTCAATGAGGGTTTAATTCTCCCAGCCCCGTTAAACTTCTACATTCATGGACGATCTTCAATGAGGGTTTAATTCTCCCCAGCCCCGTTAAACTTCTACATTCATTGACGATCTTCAATGAGGGTTTAATTCTCCCCACCACCGTTAAACTTCTACATTCATGGACGATCTTCAATGAGGGTTTAATTCTCCCCAGCCCCGTTAAACTTCTACATTCATTGACGATCTTAAATGAGGGTTTAATTCTCCCAGCCCCGTTAAACTACATTCATGGACGATCTTCAGTCCGGGTTTAATTCTCCCCACCCCCGTTAAACTTCTACATTCATGGACGATCTTCAATATGGGTTTAATTCTCCCCAGCCCCGTTAAACTTCTACATTCATGGACGATCTTAAATGAGGGTTTAATTCTCCCCACCCCCGTTTAACTTCTACATTCATTGACGATCTTCAATGAGGGTACGTTTGATTCTCCCCACCCCCGTTAAACTTCTACATTCATGGACGATCTTCAATGAGGTTTTAATTCTCCCCAGCCGCGTTAAACTTCTACATTCATTGACGATCTTCAATGAGGGCTTAATTCTCCCAGCCCCGTTAAACTTCTACATTCATGGACGATCTTCAATGAGGGTTTAATTCTCCCCAGCCCCGTTAAACTTCTACATTCATGGACGATCATCCATGAGGGTTTAATTTCTCCCAGCCCCGTTAAACTTCTACATTCATGGACGATCTTCAATGAGGGTTCAATTCTCCCCAGCCCCGTTAAACTTCTACATTCATGGACGATCTTCAATGAGGGTTTAATTCTCCCCACCCCCGTTAAACTTCTACATTCATGGACGATCTTCAATGAGGGTTTAATTCTCCCAGCCCCGTTAAACTTCTACATTCATGGCCGATCTTAAATGAGGGTTTAATTCTTCCCAGCCCCGTTAAACTTCTACATTCATTGAAGATCTTCAATGAGGGTTTAATTCTCCCAGCCCCGTTAAACTTCTACATTCATGGACGATCTTCAATGAGGGTTTAATTCTCCCCAGCCCCGTTAAACTTCTACATTCATGACGATCTTCAATGAGGGTTTAATTCTCCCAGCCCCGTTAAACTTCTACATTCATGGACGATCTTCAATGAGGTTTTAATTCTCCCCAGCCCCGTTAAACTTGTACTTTCTTTGACGATCTTAAAAAAGGGTTTAATTCTCCCCGGCCCCGTTAAACTTCTACATTCATGGACGATCTTAAATAAGGGTTTAATTTTTTCAGCCCCGTTATTTATAAACTTCTACATTCATGGACGATCTTCAATGAGGGTTTAATTCTCCCAGCCCCGTTAAACTTCTACATTCATTGACGATCTTCAATGAGGGTTTAATTCTCTCCAGCCCCGTTAAACTTCTACATTCATTGAAGATCTTCAATGAGGGTTTAATTCTCCCCAGCCCCGTTAAACTTCTACATTCATTGACGATCTTCAATGAGGGTTTAATTCTCCCAGCCCCGTTAAACTTCTACTTTCATCGAAGATCTTCAATGAGGGTTTAATCCTCCCAGCCGCGTTAAACTTCTACATTCATGGACGATCTTCAATGAGGGTTTAATTCTTCCCAGCCCCGTTAAACTTCTACATTCATGGACGATCTTCAATGAGGGTTTAATTCTCCCCACTTCCGTTAAACTTCTACATTCATTGACGATCTTCAATGAGGGTTTCCGTGTCGCGCCGCGACGCAACGCCGTGTGCACTCTTGCAGAAGGAAGCGTCGCAGCGCCAACAGCGTCGCAGCGTGGCTCCCGCGTCGCAGCGTCGCAGCGCCAACAGCGCCAACAGCGTCGCAGCGTCGCTCCCGCGTCGCAGCGTCGCAGCGTCGCAGCGCCAACAGCGTCGCAGCGTCGCTCCTGCGTCGCAGCATCGCAGCGTCGCAGCGTCACTGGCCCAACGGCAGCGTCGCAGCGTCGCAGCGTCGCAGCGCCAACAGCGTCGCAGCGTCACTGGCCCAACGGCAGCGTCGCAGCGTCGCAGCGTCACAGTGTCGCCGGCCCCTGGCAGCGTCGCAGCGTCGCAGCGTCGCAGCGCCACCCGCCCCCCGGAGCGTCGCAGCGTCGCAGCGTCGCAGCGCCACCCGCGCCCGGGAGCGTCACAGCGCAACGTCGGAAACCCACGCTTCGGCCCCCTTTGCCCCTGCACTGAAGAATTCTGCCTTCACAAAGTTAAGTTTGTGAAGAATTCTGCCTTCACAAAGTCAAGTTTGTGAAGGATTCTGCCTTCACAAAGTCCAGTTTGTGAAGGATGCTGCCTTCACAAAGCCAAGTTTGTGAAGGATTCTGCCTTCACAAAGTCAAGTTTGTGAAGGATTCTGCCTTCACAAAGTCAAGTTTGTGAAGGATTCTGCCTTCACAAAGTCAAGTTTGTGAAGGATTCTGCCTTCACAAAGTCCAGTTTGTGAAGAATTCTGCCTTCACAAAGTCAAGTGTGTGAAGGATTCTGCCTTCACAAAGTCAAGTTTGTGAAGAATTCTGCCTTCACAAAGTCAAGTTTGTGAAGGATTCTGCCTTCACAAAGTCAAGTTTGTGAAGGATTCTGCCTTCACAAAGCCAAGTTTGTGAAGGATTCTGCCTTCACAAAGTCCAGTTTGTGAAGGATTCTGCCTTCACAAAGTCAAGTTTGTGAAGGATTCTGCCTTCACAAAGCCAAGTTTGTGCACAAAGTTTCAAGTTTGTGAAGAATTTCTGCTTCACAAAGTCCAGTGGGGAAGGATTTCTGCCTTCACAAAGTTCACAGTGTGTGAAGGATTAGCCTTAACAAAGTTCAATTTGTGAAGGATTCTGCCTTCAAAAGTCCAGTTAGTTGTGAAAATTTTGCCTTCGCAAAGTCAAGTTTGTGAAGGATTCTGGCCTGCACAAAGTTCCGTTGTGAAGAATCTGCCTTACCAAAGTCCAGTTTGGGAAGGATCCTGCCTCACAAAGTTAGTTTGTTGAGGATTCCTGTTCTTCACAAAGTCAGTTTGTGAAGGGTTTTGCCTTCACAAAGTCAAGTTTGTGAAGAATTCTGCCTTCACAAAGTCTAGTTTGTGAAGGATTCTGCCTTCACAAAGTCAAGTTTGTGAAGGATTCTGCCTTCACAAAGTCAAGTTTGTGAAGGATTCTGCCTTCACAAAGTCAAGTTTGTGAAGGATTCTGCCTTCACAAAGTCAAGTTTGTGGAGAATTTTGCCTTCGCAAAGTCAAGTTTGTGAAGGATTCTGCCTTCACAAAGTCCAGTTTGTGAACATTTTTGCCTTCACAAAGTCCAGTTTGTGAAGGATTCTGCATTCGCAAAGTCTAGTTTGTGAAGGATTCTGCCTTCACAAAGTCCAGTTTGTGAAGATTTCTGCCTTCACAAAGTCAAGTTTGTGAAGGATTCTGCCTTCACAAAGTCCAGTTTGTGAAGGATTCTGCCTTCACAAAGTCCAGTTTGCGGAGGGTTCTGCCTTCACAAAGTCCAGTTTGTGAAGGAGTTTGCCTTCACAAAGTCAAGTTTGTGAAGAATCTGCCTTCACAACGTCCAGTTTGTGAAGAATTCTGGCTTCACAAAGTCCAGTTTGTGAAGAATTCTGCCTTCACAAAGTCAAGTTTGTGAAGGATCCTGCCTTCACAAAGTAAAGTTGGTGAAGGATCCTGCCTTCACAAAGTCCAGTTTGTGAAGGATTCTGCCTTCACAAAGTGCAGTTTGTGAAGAATTCTGCCTTCACAAAGTCAAGTTTGTGAAGGATTATGCGAGTCTGCCTTCACAAAGTCAAGTTTGTGAAGAATTCTGCCTTCACACAGTCCAGTTTGTGAAGAATTCTGCCTTCACAAACTCAAGTTTGTGAAGGGTTCTGCCTTCACAAAGTCCAGTTTGTGAAGAATTCTGCCTTCACAAAGTCCAGTTTGTGAAGGATTCTGGCTTCACAAAGTCAAGTTTGTGAAGGATCCTGCCTTCACAAAGTCAAGTTTGTGATGAATTCTGCCTTCACAAAGTCCAGTTTGTGAAGGATTCTGCCTTCACAAAGTCAAGTTTGTGAAGGATTCTGCCTTCAGAAAGTGAAGTTTGTGAAGGATTTTGCCTTCATAAAGTCCAGTTTGTGAAGGACCCTGCCTTCACAAAGTCCAGTTTGTGAAGGATTCTGCCTTCACAAAGTCAAAATGGATTCTGTGAAGGGAGCTGCCTTCACAAAATGGATTCTGTGAAGGGAGCTGCCTTCACAAAAGGGATTCTGTGAAGGGAGCTGCCTTCACAAAACTGCTTCACAAACTGGATTCTGTGAAGGGAGCTGCCATCAAAAAATGGATTCTGTGAAGGGAGCTGCCTTCACAAAATGGATTCTGTGAAGGGAGCTGCCTTCACAAAACTGCTTCACAAACTGGATTCTGTGAAGGGAGCTGCCATCAAAAAATGGATTCTGTGAAGG